GTCAAAATGTGATGATGGTCTTGGGCAAGTAGGATAAGTCTGTAGGGCCACCATGTAGGGCTTTTGGGTCTGGCCTTTCTGCATCTCACTTCTGTCCCCTTGCCTGATCTGCTTTTGCTTCTGTTCTTTTCTTTACTCTCTCTCTTTCTTTGCAATGATGCAAATGCAATTCACGCCCATTCAGCACACATGCATGCCCACGATTCATCTACACCAAAGTCGCACACAAAACAACGAGATGGAAACCGCACGAGAAGACAGATTTAGTACGCATTTGCTCGTCACCTATCCCAAAAATTTCGCGTCTCGGGCCTACGGGACCACAATGGCTGGTGGCGCCAGCCAAAAAAGAAAAGAAGTGTGCCGCTGGGGTTTCTGAAAAGATTGGCGTGCAGTGCAGTGCCTCCAGACTGGGGTGTACTGTAGGTTTAAAAATATTATCTGTCATGCATGGCAGCAACTTGGATGCATGGAACACAGGATAGGTGTGCTGGTGGGGAGGTGTATCCATGACATATGACGACCATCTACGTCTCCTATCACATCAGTCACTTCCCGTGGTCCTCTGTTGTACGCAGGTGGTAGTTTCTGAGAAATCCCCCCTTCTGGCAGAAGTTCCCTAGACAACCCAAACATCATCTCTAAAAGCAAACCGGAACGGTCTCCTGTGTTTATTGGCCTGTTCTATCGTTTTCCATTTGGGCATAGGCCCTCATACTTGACTGCGAATTCATATGTCCCTGGCAGCGTTCGTTGGATCTGATAAGGGTTGGAGCTCAGACAGTCTTGGTGAACCCCAAATGAGCTGCCAGCCTGTTTGGAGCTCCAGATCCAACTAACGCTGCCCACATGAACGGCTAGCACTCCATTGGATCTGATATGCGTTGAGCTAAACTACTCCATTGGCTCTGATATGCGTTGGATCTGATAAGCGTTCGTTGAATTCATAGTCTTGGAGCTCAAGCAGTGCTAGGCAGTGGCAAGAGCAATAGAATAGTTTAGCTCTGGAGCAGCTTGGCGGCCTCCCACTGAGTGGCGTCCTGGACTGGACTACTGGCTGGCTTATGTAGAAAACTGGCCAGGCAGTTGTGTTCTCTGGCCAGCAGCACCAGTCCTTGGCCCGGCCTAGCCTGTTTGTGGGCCCAGTGGCTCTGTTACAATTATTTGGGGCTGGTACCACGTCTTTTGATAGGCCAATAGCATTCAATTGCTAGGCTGGTGGCATGCGTTCTCGACTCAGTGGACCTGTAGTTTCTACTGCACATGCTGTCCAGTTTCGAGAGACAGATTCTTGTGATTTCTTCTACACTTCCTTGGCTCTTCCCAAAGGTTCCGGTCCCCTACCACCTCCGGCCTACCGGCCGATTTTGATTGTACAGTCAAGTACCAGTAGCCAATTTACAGAAGTGCCCTAGGGTGGTTTTCCAGAAATAGAAAAGAAGAACAAACAAGCGAAATCTAAACAAGACAAGGGCAAAATTAAAGTCACACCAAGCCATAGTGACATCAAGCAATTATTCTAAACTGGCTTGGTGCTGCAAAACCGTGGGTTGTTGCACTAAGCCCCCCGAAAAGAAACGAAACAGCTCAAATGTGCCCAAACAACTCTGCATCTGAAAGCGTTCGTACTCAGTTGCTTTCGATATGGCCGGCTCCTGTTTGTAGTTGCAAGGGTAGTGTGAGGTATATTGGAGAGAACAATATCGCTTAGTTTTATGATTAGAACAAAAAAGCATGCACGCTCCCTGCCGAGGAGCTGTAATCTCAATTCAGCTCCGGAAGTTGAATTTTTAGAATCCTTCTCACTGAGAAAAATTTGAGTTCCCATCTACAGACCATGGTTAATCCTCCGCTTAGAGACGAGGATGTAGTAGCTGGAGTTTGACCTGGGGGAATGGTTGCGGACACACAAATCTCCCAGGGGAACAGTATCCTTGGCATAATACACAGTAAAGTTTGACTACGAGCTTCGACTAAAAACCAAGGACCCAAGCAGACAAACGATGGGCAAGGACCCTGAACTTCAACACGAATGACCGACTTATGATTCCCTGGAAGATGTATCCTTTTTTATTTTTTATTTTATTTTAAGAGAAGGACCTGTTCATGCCTACTAGAGCGGGGTGATATGAGCATCCCCTCCTAGTAGATCCTTTGATGGCCACTCCATCTATTGGTGGGGAGTCTCATGTGCTGAAAAGCGGGTCCAGTGTCCCATAGGAACGTAAGTATTTGGAACTTCATGGGACATAATGGAACAATGGGGAAGGGGTCTGTACTGACTGTGGAATGTAACTCTTCACCCATTCTTTGGCCCCCAGCTAAAAACAGTTGAGCTCAAGTACATCACAAACCAGACAAAAACCGCCCCTCTTAAAAAACACCCCTAGGTTAGAGTTGAAGATCTTAGGGCAAACCATGATAAGTATCCTTAAGTGTCCCTTCCTGTGAATCAGTGGCTCCACAACAAAAGAGAACGCTCAGACCCTAACAGCTCAGAGGTATGCATAATGTGTAGTGACAATCAGCCAGAAGTTCTAATACGCTGCCTGAAAGAGTCAAAGACCTGTGAATATCCCTCTTTGCTGTACACCCCCATTTGAGTGGAGGCTAAGCAGCACACTCCCGGGACTGGAAGGACCCCTGTCAATCACGCCTCTCCACCCCTGGTCCCACATAATTCTTGCGCCGGACTGACCAGGTGCTGAACGGTAGGCGATCAAGGTCCACAGACGTTTGGCGTGAATGCCCTGGTCTGAAGTCAACTCGACAGTCGTCGGTCGAAAGGAAGGTAAGCTGACAGTCAATCCTCCAAAAGATTGGAGTAGTCAATGCTGGTCAGGATTCCTTCAGCCAATTGGAAGGGGCATGAGAGTGTTCTCGATGTAATGACTTGCCAGGGGAAAAGGAACCGGACTTATGCTCCCCAGAATGGATGTGGCGCCAAGACCAGAAGGACTTGATCTAAGGGGACAGGAAAAAAAAAGAATGCAAGCTCCCTATCCCAATTCAAATTTTGATTCACGAATGTTCAGGACTTTCAAAGTGAAATCTAAATCCAGATCTGAATTGCATTCTAACTCTGGGCATGAGATAACCTGGGTCCTTGACTCATCCATTTGCCAACTAAATTGCTTACCTTGGTCTTCCTGGGAACAGAGCACGTACCTCTTCCTTCAATGTTGAGTTGAGGGTAATCAACGTTGGCATGGTTTCTCTCTGGAGAGTGCAGTTTCCAATGTATTTTGATAAGGCTGTAGATGAATGCCGATGAAATATGGAAAGACTATAGCCACTAATGTTCCTCATGTTTGCTTCTGTTGTTTTTTCCCTTTTTCTTTCCCCATGTGTATGTGTCGTTTTGGATGGGCGATGGGGATGGTCATCAGGGGGCAGTGTGCCTGTGGAGTGTGTGAGGCCGGAGCTTGTGGCAGCATATGAAAAAAGACTGAGGGATGAAGGCTGTGGGAGGTTGGAGCAGCTGAAGAAGCAATATTGTGACGAGTGGCAGGTTGGTTGTCGCTAGTTTCTGTTGAATCCTCATATTTATGTTGCTAATATCGGCACCTGTCTTTTATTTTCTTGAAATGTTGGAAAGCTGGAAAGCTGGGCTTGTCATGCATTTCCATCCTTTTCTGCAATTCAACCCGTTTGTGCATCTCACAGAGTGTGTGTGTGTGTGTGTGACGGACCCGTCGGGATGGCGTTCCGTCAGGATCAAGACGAAGGGATGAGGATGGGGGAGATGGAGATGGAGCTGGAAGGGACAGTGCAGCTCCAACGCAGACTCAACACGCACGTACTCCAATCTGTGCAAATGAAGAATGCGCCACAAAACAGACTGCAGCTGGGGTATACCCCCAGCGGACTGACTGGACTGGACTGGACTGGCCTGGTACCGACAGTGGTACCGGGCAGGACTGGACTGGACTGGACTGGCCTGGTACCGACAGTGGTACCGGGCAGGACTGGACTGGACTGGACTGGCCTGGTACCGACAGTGGTACCGGGCAGGACTGGACTGGACTGAATAACCACACGGCCTGTGGGGTCAGGCCACGGCCTGGTCCCACAGGCCGGATTGGCAAATAGCCAAATAGGCCCTGCTGTGGGCCAGGGTAGATGAAGGCCCGCTGCACGATCCTCAGACCTGTAATGGATCGCAAGAGCCATAAACACGCTATCCGCAAAAGCAGCAGAACTCTGCAATAAAGAAAGCTGAGAATTCTAGGATGCGGAGCAAGCTCCATGCAGAGTCCATGCGATGCATCCTAAGCTATATAATGTGAAAAGAAAAGCAAATATCTGGTATACATATCCTAGCTAACAGCAGAAAATGAAATGTAGTATGATACACTCCTAAAGTCCTGGAGGTAGTGGTCTCAGTGCTGAAAGGAGAAGAGCAATATGTCACAAGATAATGTCATGTCGCTGAACCACTAAAAGTGGGATGGTCTCAGAGGTGGTGAATGCAACCTAAGAATCGAAACTCCTAAGGGCAGTCACACATGAAGGTGGGATAGGTCATCAGGGTCAAGGTGGGAGAGTGGTAGCGAAACAAAACCAATGACCCTAACAGATAGACCATCGAGGCGGGTAATGCTCGACAAGGGTGACACCATGCAGGGTCGACCATGAAAAGGGGGAGCCTGGAATATGGTGGAGATATGCCTAACTGAAGGCATGCAAGGGCCGGCACTAGGGTGATGAGGGCAGTGGGTGAGGGAAACATGCACACAACTCACCGACTGGGGGAGGAAGGAGCTAGATCTGGGAGCAGGGAAGCCAAGATAACGCTACGGTCCCAATGCCTATGCGATACCAAGGGAGAGCCCAACTCAAAGAGACGCAGCTAAGTGAGAACCATCATGCGACAAATACAAGGGAATGTACAGGGTAGGGTGGTGGCGTGAAGTAGTCACGTCCAAAGTAGCTGAAGCCGATAAGGTAGCTGAAGTTGTCGAATCGGTCGATGACGTCGATGAAGTAGCAGTCGAGTCGATGTCGAAGCAGAGCCGCAAAACGCTGACATCCTGAAGAAGAGCTGATGATGGAGTACCTGATGGTGTGAGTCAGTGGGGAAAGATGGAGRATAAGAGTGTCAGTCATCGTAACGTGAAGGGCGACGATGAGTGCGCTGTGGAYGCTCGGAGGCGACCATCTGCGGCTGAGGAACGGCCTCAGAGGGAGCGGGCTCATCCTCAGCGATCTCCTCAACCGGAGGAGGAAGAGGGTCAGTCGGCTGATTAGAAGCAGATGTCCCAGCACGACGAGCACGATCATATGCACGCACCAACATCCTGGCGCGCTGCAAGTGCTCGAGGGGTTCCCAAGTAGCCTCCTCATCAGGGTAGCCCTTCCAACACACAAGGTACTCGATGCGTGGAGGGGTATCGTCGGTAACTCGGTGTGATACGATGTCGGAAACAACGAACTCCTTGTGACCGTCCACCATGATAGGTGGAGGGCGCTCATAAGGGCGTCCGGCGAAGCGCTCGGACGGTCTGCGATAAGGACGCAGCAAGGGGACGTGGTAAACATCGTGTACGCGAGCCTGTCGAAGGTAATCAGGTAGCTTCACACGGAAGCTGACCGGACTAGCGGCAGTATCAGAGCCGACGGCCTGAAGGATGCGGCATGGACCGAAGAAACGACGCCTGAACTTGCGAAGCATATCTGCTTCGAGCTGTAAGTGGCATGCGTCGACGAGCACATCGTCACCGACTTTGAATGGATGATCCATTCGTGATCGGTTCACTCGTGCGGCCATGCGAGTCTGGGAGTCGGCTAAACTCTCGTGTGCGCGCTTTATAATCGCCGCCATATGGGCGATCCAGTCGTCAAGCGCAGGGCAACGAGTGTCTGGGCGCAACCGCGATGGTCGTAGGAAATCCGCAGGTACGCGAGGGTGGTAGCCGAGGTCGCAATAGAATGGCGACATCCCCGTGGCTGGCGAAATAGCGTGGTTGTACGCAATCTCCGCGTGGGCTAAGTGTAAGTCCCACTGCTGGTCATCCCTAACAAACTTTCGGAGGATATTACCGAGAGTTT